ATGAGATTTTCAATCCATTTTCTACACGATGGACCAATGATTGTGAAACTGTTTCCTAGTTAATGTTTATTTGGGGTTTTTTATTTCTGATATCTAAGACCTTAAATCTGGTTCTTTTTTTTTTTTTTGCTGTTGAATTTCTGTAGTGCATATAAATGTAAATATTTTCCCCATCCATCTATTTAAAGTAAAGGTTCCCCTCAGACATATGTGGTAGTCGTTCCCGACTCTAGGGGGCGGTGCTCATCTCCGTTTCAAAGCCGAAGAGCCAGCGCTGTCCGAAGATGTCTCTGTGGTCATGTGACTGGCATGACTAAATGCTAAAGACGCACGGAACACTGTTACCTTCCCACCAAACGTGGTTCCTATTTTTTTACTTGCATTTTTGCGTGCTTTCGAACTGCTAGGTTGGCAGAAACTAGGACAAGTAACAGGAGCTCACTCCATTACACGGCACTAGGGATTCGAACTGCTGAACTGCCAACCTTCTGATCGACAAGCTCAGCGTCTTAGCCACTAAGCCACCGTGTTCCTATCCATCTATTTAATTGTGTCCAATTTGTGGGTATAGATTTTGCTTAATTTGGGTTTCTTCTGTTTTGCTTTGGAAAGGGGACATTTATTCCAAGAACAACTAATAAATAAGCGGAATAAAGCTTTTACTATTTTCCTTCTGACCATAAACTATGCAAGGCAACTTTATAGGAGGGCATTTAACAGTTGCATAAAAATGGGAGTTGTAGCCATAATGGTGAAAAACAATACGTTTGCAAAATAATAATTTAAAAAACTTGTATCGATATAAATTGTCATCCGTGAATCAAATTCTTAAATCCATAATCAACTTGTTTTCCATAAAGTGACAATGTAAAATGAATAAAAACAAGTTCCTAGTTCTCATTATGGTGCAAATCGGTTTTGCCAAATCAAAACCCATCTATACATATACTGATTATTGATAATTTGAATCTGCATTCAAGTGAATTAGTTTTTCCCAGATTTCCTGTACAAAACCTGTTGAAGGAAAATGTAGCTCTTGCTCCATGAAATTCTAGCTACTCTTTGTGAAAATAGAGCAGGTGAAAATAAAAATAGAGACCTAGGAAATATATCTGGACTCGTGGCTGCAGCCCTCCCAGTCCCATCCTTTGGCACAACTCCTCATTGTTTATTTTGGGTAAAGCTGCCCCATTGTAATTTATTTGATAAGACATGGTTGAGCAAATCATGGCTCACCCCAGTGTGTGAACCCATAGATTACACTGAAGCCTGAGTACATAGATTTGCACTATTAATCATTTCTGGGGGGAAAACCCTTCTCTGATTCCTTTGCCTTCTTTTTCCTTGAGTTTGCCTGCCCAAAGAGGCTGCAGTCGGTTAATTTGCAAGCTAAGCTTTATTTTTTTGGGGATCTCCTGTGGAGTGTGAAACCAGTGAGATGAGAGCATGCCTCACTTAGAACAGCAGAGAAAAACCTGCCAAATTCGACTTTTGCTACATGTGTACAATATGTCGGAGAGATCCCTTCCCTTGCTGGGTCTGGAGCTGCAGTGCAATGTCACAGCCCAGGACCTGCTCCCAGCGAGGTTCCCAATTGTGTGGCTTCAACAACAAGGGCTTTTGGGCAGTACTGTTCAGCTGGCAGGAATCTACTAGTTTAAGAGGAATGGCCTTGGGTGCATTTAGCTTCCTCCCATGTTATGTAGCATATCAGACAGGAAGGGATCTCCTATATTTTCAGTTTGGGGTAAATACGGGTCAGTGGTGGGATTCCATATTTTTTACTACTGGTTCTGTGGNGGACCACCAGTTGGTGACCGCTGGACTAGAAGACCTCTGAGGTCCCTCCCAGCTCTATTCTATTCTATTTGCCTGAGGGACAACTGTTACTCCCCAATAACCCTCAACTAGGTTAGTAACTCATTCCATCTGGGAGGCTCCCACCCACTTGATCCAAAGTAATCCACCCTGCCTCTCAACGGCCCACCCAAGTTTGAGACCAGGAGGGAGGGGGGGAAAGGAAGAGGGAGAAGGAGAGGGGGAGAGATGGAGGGAGAGAGAGAGAGAGAGAGGAGAGAGAAAGGGGGAGAGAGAGGGTGGTGAGAGAGGAGCCTTCAATGCACCGAACGCGGCCTTCCACTTTTCCCACGTGGAGCATCCAGCATCCCACACGGGCGCGGTAGGAACAGCCAATGAGCAACCTTCCCTCTCCCTCTTCGGAGCCCTCGGCGAGGAAAGAGTTAGACAGCGGCCACGCCCTTTGAGGGGGCCGGGGACCAACCAGAAGAGAGGGGGGCGTGGCGGGGTGGAATGTTGTGAAGGTGGAAGCGGAACGCTGCGCGTTGAGTTGCGAAGGCGGGCAAGGAGGGGGAGCAGCGGCGATGGGGAGCGGGCGCTGGACCGGCGACGCGCAATGCCGTGATTGACGGGACACACGGAGAAGGTGGATGGTTGCGGCTTGCCAGGTTATTTGATGGTTGCAAGGAAGCCGGCCGGGGAGTGCGGCTAATGCGGAATGCAATGGACTGAGCAGGAAGGGCGAACGGAAAGCTTTAAGGTGCGCTAAGGTTACTGCGGGTGCGTTGCCCTGGGATTCCCGCCGCATTTGTTGCCTCTCTCGGGGTAAACGGGGTCTCGGAGCCTCGGAAGAATCGCATGAGTCAAGGACAAGCGTCAAAGCGCAGAAAGCACCAGTTTTCCGGCCAAAGAGAGAAAAGTGATAGGCGGGTTGGGGTGAAAAAAATAATAATAAAAGAGGATAATTAAAAACCTTACCCTCCCAGACAGAAAGAACTTCGGTTGGAGAAAAAGGTTGGGGACTTCCAGGAAGCGTTGATCGAATTAATTGGGTCCCCAAAAAGGTGATGGGGGGAAAAAATTAACCGGGAAGGTTTGGAAGGCTTCTGGGAAGGTTGAGAGTTAAACTTGTTGAAAGTCCTATCTTCAAAGAATAGTTATATTAATAAAACAAAAGAAAACCGCAGGAAAAACAAAACCTGGCTTGAAGATTATTGGTGAATGAAGATTTGAGTTTACTTCTTCGGGAGCAGAGAAATGTCTCATTGGAAAGCCGGCAGTGCCAAGAATCTAAGAAATTTGGGGCTGCAAGTGTTTCTTTACCTTTTTTCAAGAGCAGAAGACAGTCCCTGGGTTCATCTGTTTTTTTAACGGCAAAAAAAAAAAGAGGATTCAAACCAATTTTCTGAGTGGAAGAAAGGCAGATTCTCCATGAAGGATCTTTTAAGGATCTAGTATCCAGTGAGACTTTTATCTGTTACTTGTTGGATTGTCTGCTGGTCCCTAGAGGTGTGTGATAAGGGAATAGGGCTGTGCCCGGTCAAATCAGATAGCAGAACAAAAGAAGAACCCAATTCAGTCACAAACTGGAAGGGCAAGTTGATAAAATGACACAGTTTTGTTTTTTTTAATCCTCGGGGAAAGATAGGGCAGCCATTGAAGATTGAAAAAGAAAAACACCAGGAAGTTGGTAAAGGGGGAGGGGGGGGGGAACCAATAAGCAAACTCAGGCTGTTTACCCAGCCTGAAATAAATATGGACTGAAGATTATAAGATAATAAAAGGCTGGAGTGGCTCAGATTCAGAACCACACCAAATTGCTGGAACTGAAGAAGCCGCCAAACCAACTCTAACAAGAAAAAACGGTGGCATGGTGAATTTCAAAGCTAGGGTATATCCAAAAATGGGGAGAGAAATTGGACCCTTAGAAATTGCCGCCTGCAGCATTCTAGGCTCTATTTCTGAGGCCTGAACTCTTGTTTCTCTCCAATAAATTTTAATTCCCCCTTGTGTCTGAATAATTCACTTTCTGGATTGCCGTATTGATCCAATTTATTTCCTTTCTAAATAAGGATTTGGTGGGTTCTGCATGAACCCATGCAGGCCAAGAAAAAATACCTGTTCGTGACTCTCTTGGCCACCTGGCTTCTGCTTGTTTTGTTTGGAGGAGACCAAATAAGACGCTTCCCCTTTTTCTCCAACAAAAAAGCAGAAGTCTTAAAAACCTGGCCTCGGTGGGCCGACGAGGTTCTTCTCAAGAACTTTGCAGGTTCTGAGGAGCTCCAGAGCACTGAAAGGGGCCACAGCGATGAATCTCCCCAAAGCCGGCAGCAGTTGAAGCTGAGTCTTTACAAGAACAGCAGGTGCCGTATGGAGACTTGCTTTGATTTTTCTAAATGTAGGCAACACGGGTTCAAAGTCTTTGTTTACCCCCTGGAAGGAGGGGATCCTGTATCCGAAAGTTACCTCAAAATCATCAGCTCCATTGAAGAGTCACGTTATTACACCTCCAATCCTGAGGAGGCCTGCCTGTTTGTTCTAAACATTGACACGTTGGATAGGGACCATCTCTCCATACAATATGTCCATAACATCAACGAGAAAATCCAAGGTTTCCAGCTTTGGAACGATGGACAAAACCATCTCATATTTAACCTGTATTCTGGCACGTGGCCTAATTACACCGAAGACTTGGGCTTTGACATTGGACAGGCTATCCTGGCTAAAGCCAGTTTTTATGTCGAGAACTTTCGACCTGGTTTTGATATCTCCATCCCTTTGTTTTCGAAGGAGCATCCTCAGAAAGGTGGGGAAAGAGGCTGGTTATACAAGACTTCTCTCCCACCCAAGAAAAAGTATCTCTTAGTTTTTAAAGGGAAGAGATACCTGACCGGCATTGGTTCTGACACCAGGAATGCTCTCCGCCACATCCATAATGGTAAAGATATTATTTCTCTGGCCACATGTAAACACGGGAAAGACTGGGAGAAGCACAAGGACAAGCGGTGTGACAAAGATAATATCGAGTATGAAAAGTAAGTCAACATTTTTTCCTCTCCAAAAATGCCTCATGAAAGTGAGGCATTTTGTGAAGCACTAAATTTTGAATACCGTTAAATCATTGTTTAATTGACTCTGCCCCAAGTTATAACGGCATAGGGTGCAATGTTTTCAGCCTCAGGTATTGAAATGTTTGGTGCAAGCTCAGATGGGTTCCTAATCACTTTTAAGTTGTTGGGTTATAGAAATTAGAGGAATCAGTACTTTTTAAAAAATGCAAACACTATAGAGATTCTACAGTTAAATACTGGGATATATGTAGAAAACCTTGCTTGTTTTGTGCCCTTTGTATGTTGGATTTGAATGTCATTAGGATGTTTGCACAAACTAGTAGGGCTAAATTGTCCTAGTCTTTTTCACTTTCAGAACAGACCTAGAAAATGAAAAGTGGCTTTGAGTGTATGTAGAATATTTCTCTCCCAATAGTGAATTATAGAATCACAGGGCTAGAAGGGACCCTGGAGGTCTTCTAATGACCCAATGTTTCTCAACCGTGGCAACTTTAAGATGTGTGGATCTCAACTCCCAGAATTCCCCAGCCAGCCAAGGTGAGGGATTTTGGGAGTCGAAGTCCACACATCTTAAAGTTGCCAAAGCTGAGAAACGCTGTTCTAGTCCGATCCCTTTTCCACGTCAAGAGTCTTTATAATGTACTATATGGAACAAACCTTTGTCCAATCTTTTCTTGTCCAGGATGGTATAAGGACTCCTGTCTTTAAAGTTGAAGTCCATTTTTGTAGGATAAAAGACAAAAACACAAGAAATTAATTTCTTCTCCCCTCTTATTTTTGAAATTTGATGCCTCCATATTTCAGCATGCAAATGTTGGTTTTTCTCAGTATTTCACATGATTTGTAGGGCTGAAGCAATATGCATTGTCTTCTGCAGTATCTAGACTAAACTAAAGGTCAGTAGGGCTAGTTAAGCAATCATTGCTTTTGTTTTATCTCTTGGGCTTCCTAACAAACTAAGTTTGAAGACTTCTGTGTGACTTTTAAGCTTGCATGGGACGTTTACAGCACTGTAATAAAAGAGTTGTGTTAGAGGCATACATTAGTCTTTCCTGCTCAGTTCTGCAGGCAACAGCTGGTTTATAATCTTCCACTAATCTGCATATTTGATTTATTGAAATTGACGTACCTTGCAAATTATTTTCAGAAGGGAGGAGAATGTTGCTCACAGTTCATTGGGTTCTTTTATATGGTCATGTTTATCCTTCTTATTTTCCTTGAAGAGTCTTCCTTTCAGTTTTTAAAGAAATATTTATCCAGTTTTCAAAGGTACAGTGGTACATTGGGCATTAGACTTTTATTTATCATTACGTGTTTTCACAAATTCATTTTTTTCAGTAAGTGTATTTTTAAATGTTATTTGATTTTTATCCTGCCTTTATTTATTGTGTATAAATAACTCAAGGCTGCAAACATACCTTTCCCCCTTTTTTTCCCCACAACAACCCTGTGAGGTAGATTGTGACTTGCCCAAAGTCACCCAGCCAGTTTTTCATGCCTAAGGTGAGGGAATTTGTTGATTAAGTTAGGGCACAAATCTGTTGATAATGTTATAAGTAAATCCACCCTGTCTTAATTAACCCTTGGGTATAGGCTGAACCTGAGTACATAAATACGTGCAAGATATTTGTGTGAAAGGTTGGTCAACATGTCATTAGGATAGCGAGGAAACCATATATCTCATATTTTTTTAAGAATGTCTATATAGAGCAAATAGATTACTTTTGATTGATAAGCAAAATCTGCAAGGGTCCATCCGTGACACCTTTTCTATTTTTTCTAATGAAATATATGACAATAATTTGCATATAATAACACTCCAAAATTCTGCTTTAGAAATATTTCTTACACTTTTCTTTTGCTGCTTAATCCCATAAAATAAAGGGGTGTTATATCGGCGTGGCTTTAAATTCTTGGTATTCTGAGCATTTGATTGTTATTGTTTCCTCATTTGTCAGTCGGTCCTATAAAAACACCATCTTTTGGCAAACAGAGATGGATTTCAAGTGCCAGAAAAGCAAATTGTGATACAAAGACAATTGTTCCCTGGCTTTATTATACTGTAGATATATTTTCCCCACATGCTTCCTCCACATCCTTCAACATTTCATTATTTGTTTACTCCACCTTCATAATTTGTATAAATAGCTCCAAGGTGACTAATACTCTTTCTTCCTCCTGTTTTTCCCACTACAACAACCCTGTGAGGTGATTAGGTTAAGAGCCAGTGATTGGCCCAAAGTCCCCCAGCTGGTTTTCATGCCTAAGGCGGGACTAGAACCTACAGTCTTCTGGTGATTGGCCCAAAGTCACACTGCAGGCTTTCTTGCCTAAGGTAGGACTAGAACTCACTGTCTCCTGGTTTCTAGCCTGGTGACTTTCTGGCCACCTGTTTACCATAGACATTAGTATGTGTGTCTGTATATCTGTGCACCATTTTTATGAAGTTCTCAAATAAAATTCCTGTACTTCAAGGAACAGGTATCTGATTTTTCCCCCTGAGTGATATTTATAAGGAACTTCTGGATGTAACAGATTGTGAAAACAAATCCTTGAACATACAGGTCTCTTTCCAGACTCAGGGCAATGTGGTATTCTCCCAAACTTATTAAAACTCTGCTTTTTAAACCTCTGTACGGAAAGAATGTGGGGTGAATGCAGAAATAAAGGGCCAATAGATAAAAACCCAACATCTCAAAGAATATCTGCGCCCCCCCCCCAAAGGATCTTCAGTCCAGAAAATGAGACAAAGGGATGTGAAAAGATGGGAGAGGGGAGGGAGATGGATTGGACATGTATATATTTATATGCATAGCAATACATCTCCTCCGTGCTACTCTTCCGCTTAGATAGATAGTACATAAAAACGCTGTGGAAGAGCAGATGTGAGCACCGGATATTGGATGAATCAGGGAAGGAAGTTGCTTTATATCTTTTCTTCTCACCTTGAGAAATCTTGAGCTCTGCAGGCTTGTGCTGATATAAAATGTGATTTTCGATTTCGGGCAGAGTAACAGATGGTGAGTCATTTCTCTGATCTTCCTTTTCTTTGACACTATCCCCTTAGATGTCACTGCTCAGTTTTCTGGATGGGAAAGACACAGAGGGATTTTTTTTTCAGGCATCACCTCATTAAAAGTCAGATAATCTAAGCAGATCAGGTTCCATTTTCTTGTGTGTGTGTGCGTCTGTGTGTGTGTGACTCATCCCTTACCAGAATTCAAAGAAAATGCAATGAGCATTGTAGTGGTTTCACCAATACACCTTTGATAAGACTGAGGGGCCAGTTTGCACATGCACAAACATTGCTTGTGACTCTGAGCCAGGTAGGTTTAACTATCTTATCTCCGTAAACGTGCTGGAAAAGGTGAGAGATGTGGAGATTCATTTTGCTGGATCTTTGCTGGTTTTGACATTCTGGACACAAGGGGTTTAGCCATTTTGTTAACCCACAGTTTATTTATTGGTAACAAACCCTTTGGATACCAGATTTATGTTTATGTATCTATATAATCTATAGAATAAATCACTTTTGGCTTGATTCAGACAATGTATTAAACTGGGAGTGTCAAACTCAAGACCTGGGGGCCGGATCCAGCCAGTGGGGTACTTAGATCTGGCCTGTGGTCTATCCTGGAAACAGAGAAGGACCAACCTGTGGTGGTGTTGCCAGCAAAAACGCCCCACCCAAGTTTGGTTTTCACTGGCAGAGGGTTGCAGGAGGCCGTGGCAGCCGAAAACAGAGCTTAGCAGAGCGCTCGGGTCACCACAGGTGCCCCCGACACAAATGACGTCGAGCTGGCCACTCCCACGCTGCTCGTGNCCCTCTCTGCCTCCGACACAGAGCCCTCATCAGAGCCTTCCCCAGACTCCAGGACTGGCCCATGTTCCTCCCCAACCTCCTCACTGTCCGAATCCACTGCCAGCTCTGCTGGCGGGCCACAACAACCATCTTGGAACTAAAGAACATGTAAGAATCCCAATCCCAATACAGTAATGACAGTTACTAAAATATTATTCCCCCTTTTGAAATGGAATTGGTTCCTACCGTATCTCATACCTAATGAACCAGTAAAAAGAAAAAAAAAACTGCAGAAAAGTTATTCATCTGATAACTGGGTGTATGAATGCACAAATAACTCTTTCTACTGGTTCCTTTTCCTGACATAACTAGGTTGCTATATTGATGTGGATTCATCCGTCACACGCAATGAAAGAATTTGCCAGGCAGGAGAATCCTACCTCAGTTGGCAAAGTCCGAGTTTCTTCTTACTTTGCTTCTCTGACAAAATAATAAATAGTGCGATAGTTATTCCCTTAGGATTACATTTCTGCCCCTTCAGCAATCTGCAAGTTATTTACTTACTTTGGCTGTATGGAATCATTTGCATGGCCATTAGCATTTAATTTAGGAGTGGCTGTCAGTTATGGCCCTAGGGAACAAGAACCTGAGAAGGGTGTAAAAACTGCACTCAGAGCAGCCTTTATAAGCTGGGAAAAGTTTTGGATTGGATGTTGAAATGCTTCCCTGAGGTGAACACTTACATTTGGGCTGCTAGCACACATCAAAGAAAAAAACGTTTTAGCCTCTTTTGGTCCATGTCATGCTCTGTTTGATTGCTTCTTCCTCTTAACCTAGGAAGTAGCACTAGCAATAGCACTTAGACTTATCTACCACTTCATTCTGCTTTTATAGCCCTTTCTAAGCGGTTTACAGAGTCAGCCTATTGCCCCCAACAAATGTGGGTCCTCATTTTACCCACCTCATAAGGATGGAAGGCTGAGTCAATCTTGACCCAGTCAGGATCGAGCTCCTGGCAGTGAGCAGAGTTAGTCTGAAATATTGCATTCTAACCGCAGGGAGGGAGGGAGGGAGGGAGGGAGGGAAGGAAGGAAGGAAGGAAGGAAAATAGAAATAGCACTTAGACTTATATACTGCTTCACAGTGCTTACTAGCCCTCTCT